TTGTTCAGCATGGGGGGGAGTAGAAAATGAAGGCTAATCATGTTTTGGGTGTACTATTCCTTTAAGCCTGAGCAATACTTCCTGATAGTTGACCTATACTGCTTGTGCAACACCTCTCTGGAACAGTAATATGTCACACATTATACATCATAAGAACAAACATTAACTATCTTATACATAATTATTCCAACAACACTCTACAAAGAATATAAATATTTTCCATTTATGATTAAAAGTCTTTGTATTGGATACATATCATTAAATGCATATGCACATAAAATGTGTATTTTTTTTTACTATTTCATACATGCAATAAAAGTTTTTCTCTGCATTACAAACATTTGTTTAGGAATATTGTTTTACTGTACGTGCAGGTTGCACATTGGTTAGCGTGCACGATCCATGTGCTTTAGTCCTCAACGTGGCTGACCCGGGTTTGAATCAGACATGTGGTACTTTCCCGCATGTCTCTCCCCCTCTCCCATACCCCCTTTCCTGTCAGCCTACTGTGGAAAAACGAGCCACTAGTGCCGCAAAAACAAAAAAAAAAAGACTTTTTTACCGATTTCTCCATACTGCCAAGTCTTATTATGAAAACTATCTGAATTTTGTTTTATAATAGTAGAAAAGTAGCAAAACTCAACTTTTTCTGAATTAAACCATCTGGTTTCCTGCATGCAACAAGAAAAGATGGAGCAGGATCCTGAATCCCACCTCCTCCTGTGATCTGTGCAGTAACCGTGTTTCCCATGATGGTGCTCTGTACCTCGCCTCAGTGCTGAAAGAGAAAACGGCCATCGAGATCCTGAATCTGTCCATCAACTGCATCGAGGACATCGGCGCGGGTTACCTGAGCGACGCCATGTCCAGGCCAGGATGTGTCCTAAGAGAGTGAGTCCACATCTAGTCCTGCATCTCAACAATGATTTTATTTATCTTTGCGTATTTTAGAAAATGTTCTGGAAAGCTGGAAATGGATCCTGAAGATGTTTATAGAAAATCCACCTGTTTGGTTGTATAGTTTCTATATTTCCTGGGATCAGAGGTCAGACTAAACTCTGGTTGTTTAGTTCATATGTTTCCTCCATGTTCAGCTTGTTGCACACATGAAGGCCCACACTACATCCTAAATATCCTTCAATCTGGAAACATTTAATGCTGTGGATGAAGTGAAACAGAATTACAGTGATTGTTTGTAAAAAGGATGTCCAGCTTCAGTGGAGCTCAGGGTAGATATAACCACCGCATATTAACCTTACTTTTTGCTCCTTCCTCACCCACTACCAGTGTTCAGACTCAGTAATAAAGATGCTTAGTTTTCCCCCTGACAGTCTGGTAGTAATGAATCTGTCTGTTTTCCAGGTTATCTGTCTGCACAAACAACATCAGGACTCAAGGTCTGTGCTCCTTGGCTCAGGCTCTGAAAAACAACCCCACTCTGACACACCTCTATATTTGGGGAAACCACCCAAAGGAGCCAGCCTGCCGGGTAAAAAACCTCAGTAACGCAAACTGTCATTTTATACATTTCCTTCAATATTCCATTCCTTTAAAAGCCAATAAAACAGAAACACTAATGTCTATGGGTGCTGAAATGGAAACATTATGGTTAAAACAAATAAGAGAAATCAGAGAAAAACACAAAGAAAAGAAGGATGAGGTAGAAAGGAACTTGTCTGCAAATCACTGAATGGCTTTGATCCAAAATACGTTATGGACTATTGTCAGTGGATCAACAGCCAGACCTCTCAGGTCTACTGGGTTAGATCTACTCTGCAGAACCAGAACCTAGCATGGACAGGCAGCATTTAGTTCTCATGCGCCACTAATCTGGAAAGGAACTCTAAGAAAACTGTAAAAAACACTGAAACCCTCAGTTGCTTTTAATCCGGTTAGAGCGGCCTTTTACTGTCTTATCTGAACAATATTAGTTCAGATTTATATCCCACTTTCTTTCCCAATCAGCCATTTCATTATTCTTTGATGTGCCGAGAATGTTCCTTTCTCGGTGTTTCCTATGCAGTACAGCACTTTGAGTTGCCTTGCTGCTGAAATGTATAAATATTCATCTCGCTATGATATACAGCACCTAGAGCGGTCAGTTCTGCTCAAAATGACAACACGGGTAATACTGCAGTTATTTTTGCTCCTTGTACAACCCCCCGCCCCCCTAAAAAAAACAGCTGGACTTATGTTTTTACAGGAAGACTAGATATTTTTTATTATTTAAAGAAAAAAAAAGTAGTGTGTGTTTTAAATTTTTTTTTGTGTTGTCAAGTAAAAGTCTTTCCTCAGAGGGGATGTTTCTATGATGATTGATTACAGGCCGTTTCCAAGCGTTCCAAAGAACGCAGGTATGGACTCATGTCCTCGCCAAGTATGTTCTAGAGAAGAACACAGGAAGATCTGGACTGGGGGAGAACGGGAGCACGCAGCACAAATATGGGTCAATTGGAACAAATGATAACTCATGACGTCACCAAACACGCGCTCTGCATGTCTGGAACTGCATTTCACCTCCTGTTATTAATAGTCTCTAGATAATCATAAATTCTGACTTTTTTCATTGAGTGGGGGAATAATAATGAACACAGTCAGATAAACACAAATCAAATCAATATTTTGCCAGATAAAAAAAAATCACCATCATAGCCAGCGGTCCTTCACACATCGCTATGCCGAGAGAGGGCTGAGCTCTGTGAGCGCTCCATTGGAAGCTGCTGCAATGCATGCTGGGACAGCTGTCTATCTCAACAAAGGACAAGTCTGCTCTGATGCATGCTGGGTAAAGAGGGAGAGGCAAGAACAACATCCGGGGACTTTGTCCATTCTCTGTTTGCTGTTCTTGTGAATTGGAACAGTACTAGGGCCAGTGATGTCAAAAGTACACACATTTGTTGCTTAAGTAGAATTATAGTATAGATACTGCAGTTTAAAAACAATCTGGTAGAATATGCTGATGAAGATCCTCACTCATCCAGGTCATAGTCATTCCGTTAAAGTTCAACAAAATCCACTGGACTTAGTTTCCAAGATTTGAAGACGTTTCGCCACCTCTCCAGGAAGCTTTCTCAATTCAAAAGTCTGGATCCGCAGTGAGTTTGAGTCTATATATAGACAAGGCGTTGTATTGCTTGGAAACATGCAAATAGAAACCGATGAATGGGTCGTTTGGTTCCATTGTTAGCCTGTAATATCTGAACCTGTCTATGATTCTGAGGGGTCGGTCGTTAGACAATCCCCCCTTTAACGACCGCCCTTCAGAATCACAGACAGGTTTCAGATATTACAGGCTAACAATGGAACCAAACGACCCACTCATCGGTTTCTATTTGCATGAACTTTTACGGAATCTGGTAGAAGTTAATGTATCAACTTGACCTCTTTACTGAAGTAAAAGTGAAAACGCATGTGCTCGAAAAACTAATAAAAGTATAAAGTAACCTTTAAAAAAAACAACCAGATGCCACTATATGAATTGAAAGCTCAATTTTTCAGCTATTTTGAATAATTAATGAGATAGGGCCGAGGATGAGGGAGGTCTTGTTGGTCTCCATCTCCATCTGCCGATATGCTCTCGCCTGTGTCCGACCTTTCAGACATTTCAACATCTTTTTCTGAATCCTACATTGTAGCATGGCATAGACAATTCACGTGTGCAGTTTGAAGAACACCTGCTTGCTTCTGATGATTTCCTTCAGCTAACCAATGAGCAGAGATGGGAAGTAATGAAGTACAAATACTTCGTTTCTGTACTCAAGTAGATTTTTCTGATATTTTTACTTTACTACTTATTTTTATGGCGACTTTTTACTTCTACTCCTTACATTTTTACACAAATATCTGTACTTTCTACTCCTTACATTTTTAAAAATTGGCTCGTTACTTTAGTTTTGAATCATTTCAATGGAGTTACCGTTATTATTTTTCACGTCATCAATACCAAATTCAATCTAATTGGATGGGAATCTACGTTGCATTTGATGCACCACTACAAGATGAATCGACAGATTCGGCGGTATTCATTGGCGGCAAATCATTGCAGCTTGGTGGCGGTGGCGTTAGCATAGTAGCATGGACGACGAGATGATTGAAAATGAACACAACGGAGATCTAGTCCTATTGGCAGACATCCATTTAAAATGTAGGCAACGGCATGAAAAAAGTGGTTTCTACTTTTACTTTTATACTTTAAGTAAATTTACAAGCCTGTACTTTGTTACTTTTACTTGAGTAAAGAAGTTTAATCAGTACTTCCACTTTTACCAGAGTATTTTTTAACACAAGTATCTGTACTTTTACTCAAGTACGGAAAGTGAGTACTTTTGCCATCTCTGATGTGGATGGAGCCAATGATCTGCATTGGATGGCGCACATGACGTGAAATAAATATTTATAAACATTAAACGGAATAAAGTTTGAATTTACAGTTACTATTGTTATATACGGTGGTCCAAGCACACAACCTTGGAGAACAGGATTTAAAATGGAGACCCAGCAGACTGAACAGCTGCTGAAGCAGAGCCAAAGATCCAGTCCTCCCAGGTACTTTTAGATGCATCTTTTCTCCAACAGCTGCTCTCTCTCAGCATGTCAATGGGCTACAGAGGCCTGCGAATGAGCCTTTCATCTGGGGTGTTTAAAAGGGGATGCATGCAGACGTTCCAAATATGGAAGGCTGGACTTTGGCCTTTCTGATCCACTGTAGAACGGGAACCTGTGGAAACGGTTTTCACCATAACCTGTCAAAGTCTGATGCTGTGCATTGAACAAAGATGGAAGCAGAAATAATCCATGCTTGGTATTAGTTTACTGTGAGCAATTGTTTTGTTCATTTAAAGGCGGTTTGTTTATTTCTATGCCTTCTATAACCCCAGGCCTTCAGAGAGCTGATCTCCAGCGGGCGTCTGCCCCCCCAGAACACCGACGTCGAGTCTTACGAGCAGGACGGTCACGTCTTCCTGGCTGAGGCCTTTCATGGTTTGAGGAAAAGCCTTTATCAAGCAGATGGTAACGTTACAGATGCTACAGTCGGCAGCGCGTCCGATGGGCCTCCAGAAGACCAACCCCAACGTTGACTATTAGTTTGTTGATCTGCTGCTATGCTCATGATCAAACACATGTTACAGTGAAATGTTTTATTAGGAAGTGCAAATGTAATATTTCCATGTAAAAGTGTCCAGACATAAGGCTGGAATAAAAGTCATTAAATATGTTCAACACACAAATTTACTTTTTTCTGCTACATAATCAAGTTTCTTTTCAAGTTGTTAAAATATTAGTGCTTATTAAATGTGCATCAGTCACTTTACGTATCACACTATGAAATGTTTTATAAAAGTCATAATATTTTGGACAATAATGAACGGCTTATACCTTCCTGGTGGCAGAGAGTTCTGTTTGTTTCAGACTAAATTTAGAGTTTGTTGAAATCTTTGTGTTCCAAAAACACCAATTACTCCTCAGGCTGACTCTCCTCCTGCCCGCTCGTCTTCCCGTCTGTGACCTCTGGATCCCACTCCAGTTGGATGTTTCTGTTCTTCACGCTGTACTGCAGCTGTCGCCCCTCCTGTGAACCGACCGTCCAGCGCTGCATCGCCAGCCGAGCCAGGGCCGGCATTCGAGGCAGAGAACCAAGCAGCGCGGGCAGCCAGGCCGAGCAGGGAGCAGAGGTCATGGGTCGAAGGCTGACGTCTGCCTCCTCCAGCAAACCCAAACCTCCTGCCGCGAAGAGCGCCGCCCAGCCGGCGTCTCCAACCGAGCTGTTGTAGGACAGGTCCAGGACTCTGAGGGAGGAGACGCTGCCCCGTCTGCAGACGTCAGCTGAACAGGGGAACATCATTAGTTACTAAATAATACGGTCTTCCATTCAATCAAAGGCACTAAATTGATTTCTGAGCAGTTAATGGGTCACCTAGGTGACGCAGGTCATCAGTGGTGAGGCTGCAGCTGCTGAGGCGCAGCTCCAAGATGACAGACGGCTGCAGAGCATCCAGCAACAACGGCAGGCGACCGCCCACCACTTTACACCAGGAAACATCCACGCTGCGCAGGTACGGCACCACCAGAGCTGAAAAACAACAACATCACCGAGTGAAACCACAAACATTCAACAGAAAACAAGAGAATCTAAGGTTCCTGTGAAATGAATACAGGTGATGACATTTCTCTCATTTATACTTTCTATTTTCAACATATTCAGCCTGTAGGAGCTTTTCCTTGGTGATCCACGGCTTTCTGTCTAAGGGAGGTAAATATATATTATGACATAGTAGCCTATGTCATAAAGATAATAAACCACAATAATCCAGCGAGATAAATGCACGTAGGAAATAAATTTATACTCTAATCAACATTAAAATGTAAAACTGATCAGCAGCCCTCCCACAGAGAGGATGATGTATATAAATATACGCCAATATTTACATGGATGTCAGTAAATAGTGTTCTCTGTCCGCCCAGCGCAAACCTGTGGATTATTAAACTCTGCTGGAACTTTAACTGGAATTATGTGCTTTAATTGACTAATATGATTAAGTTTATCCAAGTATGTCTGGGCTGGAAAAACTAAACATTTATGGGAAAGAAACATCGCTTCCTGGGCACTGTTAAGCATGGTTTAGGCTGTATGATGCTGAGGGTCTGCTCATCTTTTGAATACACAGAGAACTTTGGTGGATAATAAAGCATTATGATTTATGCAACACCAGGATATTTTAAATAAAAGTATTTGGTATTAAAAAATCACTTTACACAATTTACATTGTCCACTACGCTGCAAAGCCATGAGGAGCTCCAAGGAGCACTAACAGATGGCTGTAAAAAAGTCAGAAGGAAATGACTATGAAATTTAAGACAGTTAAAGGTGCTTCACTTTTCATCTATCGCTAGCACTTATATTCTATAACATGTAGACCAAAGAAAGAGAAGTTGCATTATTTACATATTTTGGTCTATTTAACGCGTAATTGCTATGTTTTGACCAGCTAAGCATAGATATTTAGCCCAGTAATTGAACTAATGTGTTCAATGACTAATCTACAAACATATATAGATACATTTGTACATTTATTAATATAGTGAGGTCTTAAAAGCAATCTAGTCACCTGATTGTTTTGGGATGCTGGGATTGTTTAGTTTCCTATTGAAGTGATTTTCTGTATATTTACTGCTGATGCATTCAGCAAAAACAGAATTGGGAATTTTTCTACTTGTCCTTCGGTTCAGTTCATCACTTTCTCTTTTTTGATGCCTTCTCATAGCTGATTAGAGTTAAAAAGTCCTGAAGTACGGATGGGGTTTGGTTGCACTCGACCCGGCCGACCCGGGTTCGTATCCTGTCAGTCTAATGTCCGAAAAACCGCTGTAAAAAAAAAAAAAAAAAAAAAAAAAAAACAAGTAGATAAGAATACAAAAACACTAGAAAAGGTGATCTGCTGATCAAAGAAGGAAGCAGAGGGAATGAGGGAGAGAGCAGAGCAGACCCCAGAGGCTGCAGCCACACTGTGCCTCTGTGAACCAGATCATGTGTGAGTTTTAGCTTTAAATGCATTGCTTGCCTGAGGTCTTTGGTCTCTGAGACTTAGGTGAGAAAACATAAATAAATGATCTATTAACCGGATTTGGTAGGAAAGGCAATGGAGTTTAGATTTGTAGGGTATATCATCCAGCACTAGATAAGAAATATTTGACCAAATCAAACTTTGGAAAGAGACTTGGAGCCAACATTGTTTAATGACCATCTAAGCTCATCGATTTCAGTTTTACAGAAAACCTGTGGGCTGTTCAGGAAAGATGAGAAATCAAAAGTAGCTGTGAAGCTCAGTCTGTTTTTAATAAAATAATTTTTTGTTTTTGCTAATTTAATGGGGTTTTTTTATTTGTAAAAAAAAAAAAAGTTCTAGGAGATGGGGAAAGATTTGTTTTAAATAAAGTAAAAAATCGTATTTTTCTCTAATTGGGTTAAAGTCAGTGTTCTGCTAAGTAGTAATAACGATAAGCAATAATCCTCAGTGTTTGCGTTTACACAGGGCAGTGAAGGACTCCTCATTCAGCTTGCAGTTGTTGAGCGGCAGCCTCCTCATCTGACTCAGTGGGAGCACAGACACCAGCTCGTGGACCCCGCCTCCCACCACCTTATTGGACGAAAGGTTGAGCTCCGACAGCGCGGTCAGAGAGGGCAGCGCCTGGACTGGAGAGATGAAGGGAAGTGAGCGCTGGCTGCAGGTACCTGCTGGGTGTCAGCGCCACAACATCTGCAGTGACTCACGTAAAGCATCAAGGTCAGCGTGCCGGAGGCAGCAGAGGTGCAGGTCGAGGCTCTCCAGGTGTGTGATGTGAGGCAGGTGAAAGGTGAGCCGGTCCAGGCCTCCGACCAGGCCTCTGTTACGGGATAGGTCCAGCTCACGTAGAGAGGGGAGACAGCGGAGGGAATTACCTGCAGGACAAACAATCTGCTGGTTTTTCACTGATGAATCATCAGCAAGTTTAAGACGACAAATAAAGTCCTTCCTTCAACAACAGCAAGAAGGTAAAAAAAAATGATTTACTCGTATGAGAAACTATGTAATGATCAGATATGTAATGATCTTGGTTTACCCACCCAGAGCATAGAGGCTGTCCGCTGTCAGCCCACAGGCCTGCAGCCGCAGCGTTGTCAGGGAAACGGTGTGAGATAGGGAGGAGGCCAGCTCCCTGAAGCCACCGCCCTCCGCTTCCTGTGTGAGCTCAGGGTTACAGGAGATGTCCAACACACAGATTTTTGGCAGAATAGCCATCAACTCCCCTGGAAGGGAAACCAAACACAGTCAGAGATAAATCCATTAAACCAAAGCCACTGACAGGAATCCACACGGCCCAACAATGATGTAATCACCCAGAGCAGCAGCATCGAGTGCAGTGAGCTGACAGGCCACCAGGTGGAGCTCACGCAGCGATGGAGGGAGCCTACCCAGCAGGCTTTGCAAAGAGCCGCCACCAACACTGCTGTTCCAGGATAAATCTAGGAGCTCCAGAAGCGGGACAGAAGTCAGGGCTTCACCTACACAAGAGAAAAAAGAAATACTTTATTTAGGAGCCTGAATACAAATGTACGCCACACTTTCCAGATCTTTCTTTGATTTCTTTGTTTCTTCGTCAAGCAAAAACACTCATCTTCACTAATTGAGTGCAGGCGACTCACTAGCTTTTAACCATGAAGTTCTTTCAGTCGCGACACACCAGAAACGTTAGGTTGATGTTTTTCTTTTAGTGAACTTAAGAAATGTGCAAACAAAAAAAAAACGAATTCTTAACTTCTTATCTAAATAAAATTCCTATGTGCCGATCAAAAGACTGATGCTCCTAAGGCTCGCAGCTTCTGGTGTCTTTCTCGGTGTGTCCTGACATCAAATGCACTACAGCAGCTAAATAAAAATTTATTTAACAAAATACATTCCTATATCACTAACACAAATTTCTCCAGCTTCTTTTAATTCAAAAAGCATCTATTTGGTAAACAAACCAATGATGCAGAATAAACATCTAATTACAAATCTGATTTTAAATCAGTTACAGAATGAATCTTTCTGAATGATATGAAGACTTTTTCATTACCTTTATTTGTTAAGCCCTTATAAAAACAACCACAGCTGACCAAAGTGCTGTACAGAACAAATAAATAAAACAGTAAAGATAAAAACAAAAAAACAGTTACAATTGGGTAAAGATAAAAGGATAAAATAAATCCCACTGTCTTGATAGGTGTCAAAAGCCAAAGAGAAAAGTGATTTAAAAACAATCAGAGAAGAGGCAGGTCTGATGTGCTGAGGTGGCTCATTCCTATCTAACTGCTTACTTTTTGGTGTTTTTTTTTTATAGCATGTGGCGATCTGACCTTAAATATTTTTTTTTTGTACATGACTAAAGGAATACATGCCAGTTGAGGTAGTTTAAAGTCTATTTTTTGTACAAAACTAAAGGGATCGATGCAAATCTGAAGTATTGCGCATATATATTGGTCTGACAGAGCATTGGCATTAGTAGCATCGTTTTTAAAATGTGTTTTAAAGTCATTTTGGTAATTATTTTTATTTTATTTTTTCACTTATTAAAGTTTCAGCAGGTGGTCGATGCTGCATATGCAGGACTTGTTTTTAAATCTAGCCAACATCTTAGGCGTCCTGAAGTGAGCTCTCACCCAGAGCAGCTACGTCGTCTGCATTCAGCCTGCAGCTGCAGAGCTTCAGGGTCCTGATCCTGCTCACATGCTGGAGGTGAGAGGTCAACGTCGTCAGACTTCCACCAATCAGCTCGTTCCATGAGACGTCCATCTCCTCCAGCTGGGGGAGGAACTGGAGCAACGACGCTAAAAACATTCACTCAGTTAGCATTAGCATTCATTTAAAACAATAAGCTAAAAATAAACTTTTTGTTTTGCCGTTACCGACTTATAGCTCAGGTTAGTATAAGAAACTTTTAGCTTTAGCTACTGATTGAATGTTAGCTCTAGTAATCCTTATTTACCAGATAGATTAAAGCTGTTAGCTTCTACTGTATTTCATTTTTGCTCCAAACATTTTTTTCTTATCGTTCCAGTGAGAAATGCAACGATAAAAAAACCTTTAGAATTTATATCCAATATGGCTGCCGCACAAACTTTAAAGGAATAGTACACCCAAAACATGATTAGCCTTCATTTTCTACTCACCCCCATGCTGAACAACACTCTGGAGTACTTTTTTGATATCTCAAATGCATCTGGAGATCTGGGAGGCTTCTTGCTGTCTGCTGACATTCAAATAATGGAGGTCTATGGCGCCCGAGACAGAAAGGTCCATAAAAGTCCACAAAAAACGTGTCAATATTCCTCCATACTGCTCGTCCAATGTATTCCAAGTGTCCTGAGTGGGTAGCATCCAGAATTTACTCGAAACGAAGTCATTTAGAATGTTTTTAGAGCATAAACAGTAGTGTATAGGATTTCCTGAAAGCGCGCACATGCGCGATCACGACGCTACGGAAGCCGGCAGACCAAACCAGCGCATTCAGCTCGGCAAAGAACTCATGCTCTGAAGTCCTCAGACATTTTTCTTTCGTTGTTTCTTTCTTTGCACAGGTAAACAGCACATTTCTTCTTCTACGCTTGCATTATTGGCAGAGCAGACGCTGAATGCGCACTTTCATCTGGTTTGGTCTGCCGGCTTCCGTAGCGTCGTGAACGCGCATGTGCGCACTTTCAGGAAATCCTATACACTACTGTTTATGCTCTAAAAACATTCTAAATGACTTTGTTTCGAGTAAATTCTGGATGCTACCCACTCAGGACACTTGGAATACATTGGACGAGCAGTATGGAGGAATATTGACACGTTTTTTGTGGACTTTTATGGACCTTTTTGTCTCGGGCACCATAGACCTCCATTATTTGAATGTCAGCAGACAGCAAGAAGCCTCCCAGATCTCCAGATGCATTTGAGATATCAAAAAAGTACTCCAGAGTGTTGTTCAGCATGGGGGTGAGTAGAAAATGAAGGCTAATCATGTTTTGGGTGTACTATTCCTTTAATACACTTTAAAAGTTGCAGTTTGATTTGTTCTGTAAACATATTCCTTTCATAAAATGCTGAAAAAAATAGTTTAAAATTAGGCTGTTGTGATTAAAGCACTAAAACTATTAGCAAATCCACCTGGTTTTTAAACTTCACACCTGCATTAGTTCAAATGGAGTTTGAATAGATTTTTAAACCCTAATTCCTCTGTTTCTATGTGTGGTAGGATACTGACTACTCAAAAATACATTGCATTTCCTTTATATCAAGACTAATGAGACAGATGTTATTAGATAACATTCATTAAGTGGCAGTTATATCCCTCAGTATGTGACTAACGTTCACCCATCATTAGGTACAGAAAACATATACAAACTTTTCTAGCAAACTGCTGAGAACATATTGATTTATCATATTCAAAGATATTTTTAATTTTTAGACTTAATTTTGCTGGTTTCATGTGGTCAGTTGTGTATATTTAAATCGTCTTGTTTGTTTTCTCTAGTGAATGATGGTTAAATCTACCGAGCTCCAGCAGGTCTGTAGCCGTCAGATCACAGTTAGCCAAACTGAGAATCCTGCTGTCTGCTTTCCTCCCCAGCTTCTGCAGGAACACAGACACTCTTCCCCAGCCTGCTTCACGCTCGTTTTCCACTGAGGCCGCTGCACCTGAAACACAAAAACCTCATCTGATGCAGCTGCTTCTCTCCGTTTAGCTTCCTGATCTCTAGTTGAGATCGTTTCAGAGGAAGTTTTGAGCTATGCATCTTTTTTCTAGTCACCACAGTCAAGCAGATGCTCTAGTTCATTTAACTTACTTTTGTTCATTTTTAATCTGCGACACTTGGTCTTACCCCTCCAGGGCCAAAACTTTAGGCAAGAGCTCACTCCACCATGGCATCAGTCTTGTTTGTTTTAAGGTATCTTATCATTCTTGCTATTTAAATGATGTCTTGATGCGTGCAAACAGAATAATACTACTGCATTAATTAAAGATTATATATATATATGCAACAGAGAGCAGCTCTTCCCCTCACCTGGACTCCGTCCTTTGTTCTCAGACTCTGCATCCTCAGGGGTCCCCGTCCGGTCGGAGGTCCGCGACAGGAAGCGTCCCAGGGGCTTCCTGCCTGATGCTGAACGTTTGCGGCGGATCTGACTCATGATGACGTCGAGGGGGGAACGTCTTTGGCTGCCTCCATCCCGGCCCCTCTGGCCTACTGATAAAATGTATGATTACTGATATTAAACATGCAGAAAGTATCCCCTGATCCTCTGATGGGTTTGTTATTAGTTCATAATATTCCGAACTGGCCTAAAAATGCAGCTCAAGCAAGATTAAGGGAGGATGTAGGATCAGCTAAAAAAAACACATGTCGTCTTTAAGGCCCAGATCTATCAAAAAAAAAAGTTCAAAATAACAACGGGGTAGGAGTGAAAGCCTACTGTCCTTACAGTCAAGCACAGGGTTGGAAGCATTATGCTTTGGGCTTTTTTTTTTTCTTCATCATCTTAAATACAGAAAAGTTTCACAGCATTAGTAGAAAAAAGGATGGAGACGTGCGCCATGAAACTGAAGGAGAAGCTTCCTCCATCAGGACACTGAATTTGATTGATTACCTTTATTGATCTCACAGTGGTGAACATTTACTCGTTACATCAGCTCAAAGAGTCAAAGGAGAATAATGTGCCAAAGGAAGAAAAAGGTGCATGGGGATTTATACAGTATATGCAGTGCGTCCACACATGACAGCGTTCCTGTCAGGAACATGGATGGAAACCTCCGCAGTAACAACCCAGATTACTATAAACATCTGCAAACCTGCAACCAATCAGAGCTCAGCTGGAAGTTTCTCTATATTAAACACTCATATCCCTAAACGTTTTCTTTTTATCTATTTATCTCTGTGAGAAAACATCAAACAAATGATTTCCATGCATCTCCCCTGGGATGTTCCTTTTTATTTATTAAGGATAAAACGACTTTATAGAAATCAGCTTTTAAACAGCAGATCTGAAGGCAATGATGAGGAATGTCTGAATTGTGTTTATAGAGAAATAAAGGATAAAGATACAGAAAACATTTGATAAAAATCAGTGTTTGGTTTGAGTGGAGCCTCTTACCTGCAGACTCCATGTCAGACTGAGATCTGAGCTCTGCAGCAGGGAGAGTTCAGGCACTGGGCCCCTGGTTCGGTTGGACTCTGAAAAGTTCCGACCCAGGAAGGACAATGAGTTAGATTCTGCGCTCGATTCAGATTCTATGAAATGTATCCAATAAAACGTTTCTAAAATCACCTCTTCTTGTCGGTGGCAGCACACCTGTCACCTGCGCGACATCACGTCTCGCGCTCGTCAGGTGGTTCATCCCGGAAGTACGGCAACACCTTGGGTAAATGTTTACCAACTACTTCAACGTCTGAGTCCCACGGAAGAAGATTACGGCCACTGACAAAAAAAAGTTAACAGATTTTTTAAAACTTTTCAGTTTATTATGTAAAAAAAAGTCAGAATTCTGCCTTTAATCTCAGGGTTCTAATATTAATCTCAGAGTTCTGCCTTTAATCTCTGAATTCTGACTTTAATCTCTGAATTCTGACTTTAATCTCAGGGTTCTAATATTAATCTCAGAGTTCTGCCTTTAATCTCTGAATTCTGACTTTAATCTCTGAATTCTG